ACGTGTAATTTGGTTTTTTGACACGTCAGATTATTTAATCCACGTAACACTTCTCACCGGAGAAAATAGCCGGAAATGTTTTGGTTGTTAGTTATGAAAGTTGACTGAAAGTTTGATGTTAGTTTGAAACTTGGTTGTTAGTTTTGCAAGTAACTTCAGATTACGTTGTTAGTTTGAGTATTTAAGTCGAAGTTAATTATATGATGATTGGTCATTTGATCTCAATAATTAAAACAATATATATTTCTATTGTTCCAAAATACAGTATATAATACAGGAATATCTGCATGTTAAATTGCTAACTGTCAAAAGAATAAATTAGTTGCATTTTTTTTTTCCTGCTTGCTGGTATATTTATTTTTATTAATATGTAGCAACAATGACTGATTAGTGATATATATAACCTGTATGTGTAGATAAAGCCGCATTCGATCCTGGAGATGGCTATTTTTACTTTTTTGCAAAAAGAAAGCGATCATCTGCAAGGAGTAGCAGGCCACAAAGAAGCAAATTGTGCAAAACAGAGAATATGGAAGTTGTAAAACTCACATGGAAAAAAACACAAAGTCCAATTAAGATCAAGCTGAAGGATGGGAAAGTCATAGGGACTAAGACATTACTCAAACTGGATGTGGATTGCAAACCAACAAACTGGAGAATACATGAATTTGAAATTGATGATAGTTGTTTACCGCCACCAAATAAGGATGATCAAGACAAAAAGGTACATGATCAATATCATATAGTGTACATAAAATTGTTGTAAGTTTTTTAATATGATTATTGATCTAGCATATGGATGATCGATAACGTTTTGCTTGTTCTTAAATGCAGGATATTTTGGACATTGTATTGTGTCGCATATCTGAACAGAAGAAAGAGAAAGACGATGAGAATGAAGTAGAAACTGAAGATGATCAAGTTGAGCACAATCCATCTACTAGCATCTATCTTGCTAACAATACTGATCAAAGTCAAACTTCTTATCAACATCATCAGCTGCCACAGTTGCAGTCTCAGTACCAACATCAGCTTCATTATGATGATGATCACCCTCAGTATCAACATCAGCTTCAGTATCAGTCTCAACTCCAGTTTCAGCAGCAGCCTGCTTCACCTGATGATCTTTGTCAGCTCCCACCTGAGCTTCTTTCTCAGCCTCAATCCAATGTCCAGTTTCAGCTCCCGTCTCAGCACCAGCCTTCACCTGATGATCAGCTTCTTTGTCAGCCTCAATCCCCAGTTCAGTCTCATGATCAATTAGCTCATCACTCTCTACTTCCATCTCAGTGTCCGGAGCTTCTGCTTCAACCTCAGTTCTCTCAACAGGAATGGGAAAGTTGGGGACTCGGTGAGATTTCTGCCTTGGAAGAAATATATGATCTTGCTGCCATGGGCTCGGAGTGGCAGTTGGGTGCATGATAGTGACATAGAAAGAACACAAAACATATTGACAACTGATCAGATTATGAAATCAGTACAAGTGCACTTTGTTCCTAAGCACTTTAGAGCCAAGTTTTTCTCATAATTTGATGCTACTATATACGTTATTTGGATAATTTAGTTTGGTGGCCTGATTCATTTGCATGTTTATATCCATATGTATGTGTATCAAAACATTTTAGTGTTAAACTAACTAATACATTCAATTTGCTTTCTAGGCTGCAGATCCCACCTATAGATTCCATCTCAAATGGATTGAGACATTCGAGTTTCATATGTAGTACATGTAGGCTCAACGCCGGTAATTCATCCCTCCACTTTGAGGAATGGTCGTAAATGGAGGGTATGATCCCTCCAACCTCGTTTGCCAATATATAA